TTACTCGTAAATTCGTCTACTTACCTCGAGGAGGTTTAAACAAACAAAAACCAGCTAAACGAAGGTGATATAAGAATTTTGTTAGTAACATAAGGACAACTTCAGAAATCTCAAAGCCAGGTTTTGAATTTAGGTTGGCATTAGCCCAGGGACATAAGTTGATTTTAGGTTTAGCTTAGATGAGGGGAAAAGTTCAAATATAAATATTGTCCAATGTAGTCCTAAAAATTATTGTAATCTATATAAGTACGGTAAGTGAAGAAATCTCTTTTGATAAAAAAGAACTCTAACACGGGAGATATTTATCTACAATATAAAACAGATAAATTTTAGCACTAGATAAATAAATAGCGCTCAATGAATAGCGTGGAAATTGGGGTTATGTAAGAGTGTACCTGGAAATGTTCAAATGTTATTCTCGCATATTCACAATATCCCAAAGTAATCGTGATCCCAACGTATGATTTCAAATTTAATCAAACGAACCCAATTAACTAACAAGTTTCTTTGTAAGAGACATTCTGTAGGGGCGTTTGTTTACCTGGTTCTAGATGTAAGTATGTTTACAAAGACATTTAAGTAAGATAAAAGCTAGAAAAATAAAAATTGTATTGGCACAATACTGTCAACAACAAAAGATAGCAAACACATTCTTCTTTTAAACCTTTTCATTAAATTATGAATCCATTGAATATGTGTAAATACTTTACAAGCATCTTAGCACTTCAGAATATTTTGCATTGAAAAAGGATCTACGCAATATGTACAGATATTGTTTAAATGTCTGACAGAAAAATGAAATTACCAAGCCTCAGATAAATCTAACAAACTCCCGAACACAATACTGTTTTGCCTATGTGAAGACCTTCTTGTAAATAACTAATAGTACAGTATTCGATTGAAGTGTAAACATTCAATCACTAAATCCCTGAGTTCAAATCCGACCAATGACTGTTAGGCCTACTCATTGCCACAATCCACTTGGCAATTATTTGGAATCCACTTTAGGCTTAATGCAGTGTAATTGAAAAGTTCTTCAGACAATGAACTCCGATGTCTAACTAAATAGTCCTAAGCAAAATCTACCTTCACCTAATAAAGTTTGATAGTACCGTACCTACTCTTAAAGCTCAAACTATGTGCACTATTAACAATACACTTTAAATTCAGTCTTTGGCAAGTCTATGTACTGTACTATGAAATGATGATTTTTTTTAAAGTTCCTTTTGAAAACTAATTATCTTGAATATGGTCTGTCAGCTGTCTAGGTATTTAATCAAGTCTTAAGGAATTCTCCCCCTCATTCCACTACCCCACCCCTGTCTGTGTAGGAGGTGGTCAAAACAAGTAATTTTAACCACTAATATTTATAGTAGCAAGTAAAATATTCTCCGGTTGTGAAACCTGTTAAGTGATATTAATTTCAGAGGGTGTTTAACGTTTCTTTAAAAAACTAGACGAGACTTTTTTCGTTCTATGACTATTTAACATTTCGGACATTAAAATGTACTTGTAAACATAAATTGGTGAAATTTGTTTGAAAAAAATCGATAGAGTTAAAATTAAATTTGAACACTCTAACTATTGTTCCGTGAACATGAAATTGGTCACAAGAAAATGAGATCGTATTGTTGGCCATTATTTCTAAGAACATACCTTTACTCATAGATGTGACAGGTTTTTCATTGAAAAATAAGTTTTCATTACTTTGAATAAGATTTTTAATGCACACTTAAGATAAAAAGCTAAAATTATGAAACTCAAATCAATACTATCATTGACTATACACCTCTACACTATTTATAACTTAATCGAGTAGCTTGTGTTACTTGACGTGTCTACTTTAGTGGATTTCAGTGGTTTCTTTTAGCTCAACCTAAAAACCATTTGCGAGATATAAGTCCACCGAAGATGGATGAAATATTGACAATATCTTCACCGTCCCTCGCCGAGTGATATTTCATAAAGCCTTCCACTTTCGACGTCTTATTTGCAAGGCTTCTCGACTGTTTATTTTCCTCAAACACAACTTTATGGGACAATTCTGTTTATTTTCTATCTCTTGACATATTTTATATAAACATTCGTCATTTTGTCTTGTTTCAGCAGATATGCAAACGTGTACATTTACGCTAAGTATAAACGTTTAACTCGATCTCAATGTTGTGATCATTTTCTTCTACTTTGTTTCTAATGATGAGAATCATTAGTGAAATATAGCTGATTTAAAATTTAAAAGTTCTTTAAATTAAAACATTGGAGGCAAAACTCCTATAATTAATGTATAAATTTAATTGTGGTCTTAATTTTTTTTTACTAGATTACAGTACTTGTTTGTCAAAATTGGAAAATCTGACAGCATAACGAGGTTACCAAGTCAAAATCAACAGTTGGTGAAAATAATTCCTTTACAATGCCAAAGAATTGTCAGTGATTTGGCTATGATTTACATCTAAGTACTTTGCATACTAAACCTACAAGAACCTTTAAATTAGCTCTCTCACATATCTCTTAATGGCCAACAATTTATTGGGCTTTATGAACAAAAATTAAAACCCCATCCATTACCTTTGGTTTCCAAAGTATATTTCCATAGTCCTGGAAGATTATAGTAGAATTATGATTGTGAAAATCTTTCACATTTTCGAATCGTCCACGATTTTTTAAAGATCAAATACAAGTAGAATCAATCGTTACATTACAGGCAATGATGGCTGGCAACAATACATTGTGATTGAGTCAACAACTGACGAGCTTTATGTTTGTGAAATGTACCTTATATACCTCAAGAGTCTTATCTTCACCAAAGCATATGTTTACACAACATTTGTATATACAGTTTAGACACATATGACTATCCAACCGTTCATATATTTGAATACGATAGTGTTGTTATGTATTGTTGAGAATAAATCATCTGATTTGATAATGTATTTAACGTTAACGTCGAACAAAGCAACTCACGTTTTCAGGAAATCGAACTTTAGAAAGCAGGAACGGTGGACAATAACAATACGGCCCTGACTTGAATATCGATACTTCCATACTGGGGCATCGTCAAGTACGAGTTGGTTTTGAAGAAGTAAAACTCTTTGAGCAAGTTTTGAAAGTAGCGTAAGTAATATGGAATACAAGAAATGTGTGAAGTCATAAATATCTGTTTTTCAACTACAGTACCTCGAAGAGATCCTTTGATTATTGACCTTTAAGTTAATCAACATACATTTCATAATTTCCACTCCAGCATTTATTATTTAATATTTGTCCTGCCCTAGTTGAATTTGTCGGTAAAAACCGTATACTGCCGTTATAATGTTTTGTTGTTTGCACTGTTGTTACAATGTATTGTTGTTGCAGTCTGATAATATTATGACTTTTAATACTTTTTACTTTTCATTGAAATGGCGACCATACAAAGTAGGTATTTTAAGCCAAGTATGAATGGAGATGAGTTTAGGATGAGTGGCGTGATATTGTAGTCTTGTTTGTAACTAAGGCCGACATATTCCTTAGACACAGCTGTTAATTAATAGCCCATACAGCTAATGGCAACTGGGGAGCAAGCTCGTGTAGTGGTTAGAGCGCGGGATTTCAGTTCCTGAGGTCCCGGGTTCGATCCCCACCAAGTCACCAATGGATTTTATCTAAGTGATAGTGCCGCAACCCCTAGGTCTAGCCGGAAGTAATGTGAAAAACAATCCCAGCCTCGTGCCTAGCGTCCTAGTACAAAAAAAATGGCAACTAAGGGACCTAAAGTTTATAGTGGAATCCGAACCACATTTTTGCCTTGGTATTAACGAATTGGTCTAATTATCAGGATAGTACTGCGAATAGTCGTAGTACTCACAAGGTCTGTGACACCAGGGAGTATAGCGTATAGCATCCACAGTGCATGCCTATAAATATCCACAATTCGTGACCTCCTAGTAGCTGGATTACAGGACGACGCCACCGTCCCAGTCTATATATTGTTTTAGCGAATTTCCCTATAGGGAAGTAGCTATTACCGTAGGTCTCATGGTAACACTTAGGCCCGGGACCGATTTACTTTTTCATTTTAATGTCTCCAGAGGCCAAAAACACCATTCGTTCAAATTTTTATATATATATATGTGTGTGTGTGTGTGTGTGTCCGTGAACACGATAACTTGAGTAATTTTTATCCGATTTTGATGAAATTCGGTTTAAAGGTGTAAGGCGGGATAAACGTGAATGAGTTCGCGATCCAGCATGATCGGACCATGGGAACAGGGTTTTATGGGGGTTTTTATGGGGTAAAAGTTGGTTTTTCTCACTTTTGACCCTCAAAACACAAAATTTCCCAATTTTCCTCTAAACCTTCTTAAAGAGCTTAAAAAACAAACAATTCAGTATATCAAAGTGTTTTTGTACGGTTATTGGTTACGGAGAAAACTAAAAAAATGGTCAATTTAAAATTCCCATGTTATTCTTATGGAGAATATTGTAAAATGTTGTAGTTTGCTTGTTTATGGATATCTTTTGATCAAACTTGGCAAATATATTCATTTTATACTAAGCAATAATTATTTTACTTAAAATACACACTTTATTAGTTTCCTTGTAGCAGCAAACCTAGGTACTCGTTAAACCTAATGTTATTTAAATAGATCAATTGAAAATCAATTCAGCCAAATGGAAATTCGCTAAGACGGCAGGTTTGCTGCGGCGGGGGTATTGTATTGTATTGTTGGTTGGTGCCGTTATAATTTTTTTTTTGTTTGTTCTACTGTTACAAAGTATTGTTGTTGCAGTCTGGTAGTATTGTTGGTTGGTGTTGTTGTTATGTTTTGTTGTTTACACTATTGTTACAATGTATTGTTGTTGCAGTCTGGTAGTATTGTTGGTTGGTGTTGTTGTTATGTTTTGTTGTTTGTACTACTGTCACAATGTATTGTTGTTGCAGTCTGGTAGTATTGTTGGTTGGTGTTGTTGTTATGTTTTGTTGTTTGTACTACTGTCACAATGTATTGTTGTTGCAGCCCAATGAGCGTGTTGGCGCTGGCTACGTGGCTGGTGACCTGCGCGGTACTCAGCCTGCCTGTGGCGCGCTCGGACGGCAACATCGGTAAGTTTTTCAAATGTAATTACCTACTTACATTTGATGTTGGCCCCGATGTTGTGGGTTCTAATTCCACCAATCAATAATGGATTTTACCAAAGTGGTAATTCCGCAACCTCTAGGCCTAACCTAGGATTATGAAAAGCAATCCTGGACTAGTGCCTAGAATAAATTGAAAGGTTGTTGGGTGAAGCCCTCTTCTGCAAGGTATAACTACTGAATAAAGGTCCACGTCGGATTATTGGTTTAGCATTCTCACTAGTTTGTTTAAAAAAAATAATCAACTCGTTTTGCCTAAAATACAAACTTTACCATATATAGCTCCTAGATCCTATAATGGACGCGGACCCTATTATTCGACCACGAAGGTGTTGACTTAAGTATTTAAAGTCACGCTTCGACCAACTGTTGCTCGAGGCACGGAATGACCCGAAAGTCTCATTATTCTATTTACATGAATTTACGACGTTGTGCGAAGCTTATTTATTGCATTTGCAACGGCTAGGTACTTTTACGATGCAGAATGTGAATATTTCTATATAAAAATACCATCGTTTGGTAAGGCATTATTTAAGACGTACTGAAAAATAATATATAAGTACGAGTTCATCTGTACAATATGTAATCAATCCTCATAGCTATCGTTTCTAGTGACAAAACATAGACTGTGTGGTCAAAGTAGTAAAAGTAAACACCAATAATTAAGTGTAGTCAACCTTTTTAACGTAAGAGGAATGAATAATGTACTCACCTAGACAGAAACAGTATAACTCACGCTCCCTAACCACCCCTAAGGGCCGTGGGGTAACCAGGTTCAACCCTTATTAAATAACACCAAGCATGGACCGTATGTTTTACTTTGTAGCAGATCCAGCAACATACGTCGGGAAACCTTGGAAGTCTTTGAAGAAAAATATACTTGCTGTTTCCATGGTAACATGACAAAAATCTATTATTGAGTTATTTTAGTTTATAAAAACGAAGTGGAATTAGTATTCTCGGTATTTTTTTTTATCTCTTATAGGTTGCGTGACATTCTATTGCATGTTACCAAATTGTAAATATATTATTATTTGGTGTACAAGGTATATTATAAAAAATCTGCGCAATCATAAAATTAACAGTTTAACCAATTTAGGCCTACCACATAAACCTAAATCGTCAATTTATTGTGTGTCAATTAGTTGTTTTACTGCATAAAATTTAATAATTACTCTTGGATATGTTGTTTATAAGGAATATTATAAAACTGTTGGGTTGTACCGCCAAGGTGATGTATAGTATGAAACATCACCACAAACACTTGGCAGTGGCAGGTCACTTACTTTAAGCATATTACTGTGTGTTCTGTAAACTACTCTTGAAAATTACACGCATTACCTCGTGTCATTACTTTTGGGTTTAATCCAATTTGCAAAATGCTGCGGAGAAAGTCCGATTAAAAAATCAAATAAAAATTCCAATGTTGAACTTTTAATGGTTTGCTTGTTCGACACAATTACAATCTGATAATTTCTGGTAATTTGAATGGGCACACGTATTTAAACACTTAACCATTGTAATTGATTTTAATTTTCCCCTCGTGTGAACTTTAACCTGCTGGATTTCATAGTTCTTTTCAAGTTGTACATCATAAAAATTAAACCGCATTTGGTAACTACACAATCCAAAGAACAATTAATTATGACCACAAAAGTTGACTCATTAACTTCAATTTTTTTTTATCACCTGTAGATGGTCCGAAATGGAGTTTAAAAGACTAAATTATTATCTTACTAATATTAATTTGAATATTTGCATGATTGTGAGTAAGTCACATTACGATTCACTTCAAAACTACTGGAGCAATTGAGTTGAAATTTGGCCGGAATAATGCCAATACACCACAGATAGACCCAGGCCAATTTGGAATTTGAAACTCTAATCTAACTCTATCCTATTGGTTTCCAAGATGCTATAATATTCTTATGAATACTATTATTAGAGTTAGCATATTTGTTTAAACTTGCTGTTAGCTGTTAGTATATAAATCATTTTGTTGATGCTTTTGAAATTGTGTAAATTTATCTGTTTAGAGGATTTGACAGTAAAAAAAATGTTTTGTATAGTTTCGCTTATATGCTTTATGTTGAGTTTATTAACGAACTGCAGGCAATAACACTGGATAATTAACTGTTGAAGAATCAGGGTAAACCGTTTTTTCTTATGTTATTAGGATATTAGGATATTTTATTAGAACATAAAAATGAGTAGGGATTTAAAATTAAGTACACTTTAAAGAAAGGGTATTTTAAATTAAATTATATGGTTATAGTTGTCTTAAACAGTGTCAATTAATGAATAGTTTTTAGCATTGAGGTTCATTTTCCATATGATTAGGTAGTCATTCAGAGGGTGAAAATGAAATTTTGTATTTCACGTATTCAAAAATGCCGTTGAAAATATGTTAAAGAATATAAACGTAACTAAAGAAAATAACTGCAGCTATTCCAACAGTTTGTGTAGTGGTGGTAACTAATTGCTACACAATTTTAATGATTATATAATATAAATTATGAATCTAACATTGCTCCTTTAAAATTAACGAAGTATATTAATACGAAGTTAATTTTTATGGTTATAAAATTTTCGTAGCTTTGAATATAGTGGGCTGTAAATGTTTTATACAATTACGTTAATTAAAAACTCTGTAAAGGGCTTAAATTTAATACAAACATTTTTGGTCCTTATGCTGTAATTTATTTTCTATTGTCTCCTTTCTCAATGTAATTAATTATCTGGACTAATGAATTTACTGTAGCTTGGCAAATGTCAAGAATGCCAGAGTATTGTTATCTTCTTGGTCCATACTTTACTATACAATTAATTTTAAACATTATACATTGTACAGAGTAAATTCAAGCGTTTTACTACTTTATACACGTAATTATGAAAACAAAGCAAAAATGCAGTCACATGTTATGATTGATCTTAGGAGTATTTTTTAAATAACGTATATAAATATGAAACATATCAAAATTTCAGTAACTCCTTCTAGGAATGAGTAAATAAAACAATTTTTCAATTTTAGTTTCTTTTGCTTATAAGAAAGAAAGTTTCGTAAGAAATAACCTCATGAATGTAAAGTAAACTAGTTATGAAATCTCTCTCTTCATCGATAATGACATGGCAAATTTATTCATCATGCTCCACAAACTTACTTCAAATATAAAGGAAAAATTTCGTCAATCAATATTATACATGTTTTAGTTTTAATTTGTTATTAGGAACTGGTTTTCTTTTTCGAGTGTTTCCTTTTTAGCGTGCTTAGCGTGCTGATATTTTTATTTATGAAACAAACACAAAATTTGCTCTTTATTATAATGCAGTACTTTATGAAGAGTTAATAACATAATTTGGTCACTAATCACTTTGTTGTATCACTTTAGCAGCTACAAATTCTAACCAATTGAAAGATTCGATAAAAATTGAATCAATAGTCACAATGTGCAAAACGTTTGGTGAGAACAGTTCAATGCTAACCTTCTCTAAAATATTAAAAAATTTGTTGCAGGAATTGTAATTTTAAACCCTACATCTACAGTACGTTTTACAGAATTTTACCGGTATTACATGAAAGTCTTACAATCTTCAGGAAGTATATTTTCTTTGTTCGTACAAATTTGGAGAATCAAGTTCTTAAATTAAAATCTGACTGCTACACTGCTCTGACATTTTTTATGGAATTAATGCAACTAACTCCTGTAATCAAAGGTGGAGGTGGATCAAAGGTGGCATGCAACGACATATAAAACTCACGTAACCCATCTAGAATAAAACATAGTGGAAATAATAAATATTAATTAATCATTGTATGGATTCATAAAAAATAAAATATCTACTTTCCATTGTTCTCGCAAAAGTTGTTTTCGAACTCTATTTGAAGAGTAACTTAACCCCGACGGTAAATGTCACAAATTCAACCATGAGAGGAACCGGGTTATTTTTCTCTACTTAGAAAAATAGAGTTTCTATCGAAAAAAAAACGTTTGCACTATGAAAAAACGTCATAACCATTACCAAAAGATAGAACAGCAAATAGTATTGTAAAAATTTGGCAATGTATTCCAGTTTTTTTTTTATTTATTGAAATGTGTTTATTTAAATGTTTATTCGCTCACTAAATATCGGTGACAGGACTACGTTCTCTGACTAAGCTTCCGTCAAAGTAAAATGAAGGCAAACTCTCCGGTTACCACGAAAAGACCTACACACATGATTAGAACAGAACCAATCATCACACTGTATAAGCAATTTACGCTGTAGAATTTTCTAGGTACATCGTTTAACTTTATCAAACAAACTTAAACGAAGTTAATTTAATGTAGATTTCTTTCTAATCTAGTAAGATTATGCGATCAAAATTTTAAAAATAAGGCATTTTTATCAATCGTCACTTTTTTTAGAATTCAAGTACGAAGTTTTTTTTATCGAGTTCATTACATCGCTTCTAAACAGAATTAATTGACGTAGCACAAATGGATTCGTTGAAAGCTCGTCCAAAAGTAACGAATCTTTATGTCAGAGACAGAAGTCAATTAATTTCAGAAGAAAGTAACAACACCAACGTTCAACCTTTAGAATTTGTTCATCTATTTAGGGTTTTCAAAGTAGCTTTAATAAAATATACATCTATTTTTAACCATCGTTTTGAATAAATATTGTAAGACATATTCTCTGATCACTAGTTTTATATTTCTGGGATCATAGCTCCAGTAGTGTAAGTTTGAGCAAATCCAAATAGGGAATAAGCTATTACTGATATGTCTCATGGTAAGACCTGGACCCGGGGCCTATTTACTTTTTCATTTAGATGTCCCCAGATGTCAAAAACAATATTCGTTTGGATTTGAATATATGTATATAAATAGTCTGCAGGTTTGATATAAATAATCTGCTTGGACAGTAAAAATATAATATAAAAAGCTTGCAAAATAACACTTTAGACTTACTTGTGAGTAGCACCG